ATTAAAATTGATAATAATCATTAATGATAAAATTGGTACAATTTAAAAGTTTAATCAATTATAATTGATAAAAATCCAATCAATTTTAATCGACAGTGGTAATAAAAATCATTTAAAATCTTTAAATTTTAATTGATTATAATCTAAATTTAAAATTTCCTGATGTAGTTCTTGATATGAAAGTGATAAACAATGCTAATCTTTTGAAGAAGGTTTGTCAAATTTCACTTTTTGTTGAAAAGTTTGAAGCCAAAAAACAGTGAAAACATATCAAGTTTTTGTAAGTTTTCTAACAAAGAATATTGTTTCAAAAGTTTCTCATAACTTTCTATCTTAAACAAACTTAAGTCTTCTTTCTACTTGCTGTTCTCAGAGACTCCTTCAGTTTGAATACCAAATACAAAGGAGAGTCCACCCAAGAGATAGCAAAAAACAAGGCTTGCCCTCTTTACAAACTATCCAAAACACCTGCTTCTCAGTATATTATGTTTAAAAACTTTGTTGACAACAGTTTGTATCAAGAAAACTTTAGTTGTTGTTAACTTTCAAACTTGAATCTTCAACTTGCTTATAGTAACAGGTTTGTACAAGTAATTATCAAGGAGAGTTATTTGATCTTTGTGTATAGATAGAAATTTAAATAATTTTTTAAATAATAAAATTCTAAATAAATAGAGAAAAATTGCTAAATTAATAAAAAAATAAATAGTTGTAGGCTTTTCTGATATAGCTTGCAAGAATAATCTGATATTAGTCTTCTGGCTATAAAATTAATTTCATATATAAAATAGCCAAAGAATGTCAAGCCTAGATATTGAACTCAAATTTTATAAAGTTTTATATAATAATCTTAATAAAAGCCTACTGACAAAATTGCCAAAGTGTAAAAAAAATTAAAATAATAAATATAAAAAAATTTTTATTTGTATTAGTTGTTTAATACTTCAAAAGAAATATTTTTTATACTATTAGACAGTAAAAAAAATATTAAATATAAAAAAATTTATAAAAAAAGTTTATAATACAGTATACTGTAAAAAGCAAGAATATTCAGTTTATAATCATATTTACAAGAAATTATCCCTTAAACCGTTTTGCAGGCAAATTTGCCTGCAAATTTTTGATCAAAATTGTTTTTGCTAGAACAACTTACGTAATCACTACAGTATGTCAACCTCAGTAATATTAATACTGGGCATACTACTTGCATAGAGCTTTTAGCTGATACTACTTACAGATATCCGACAAATTCTAAACAGCACATCCATAACTTGATTATTATTTAAATACATGACTTTAACGGGGTAAATATGCGCAATTATTGGATAAATTTTTGCAGGCAAATTTTCCTGGATCAGCTTACGGTTTAAGGGATAACAGAAAAAGAAATCAATTTTATTTTTAAAATATATTGTTTTTTTAGAAAGATTACCTAAAATCAATAATACTGTAATTAACACTTGATAAACTTAGAAGATATTATATTCATGTTTTTGTTTTGTTAGAAGATTATGAAAATCAAACATCTTGTCATGGTCAGATTATAAATGTTGATCCTGGTATTAGTGTTTGTAGTCGGTTCTTAAATATCGACTGACTAAGTCGATAAAATAAAAAACGGCTTAGCCGGCTTAGTCGACTAAGTAATAATCATGCAAAAATTAGATACTCGGAATGTAGTCATGGACAATTATAATTATAGTAATTATACCTAATGATTTTTCACTGTACGTACGTACCTGCCAAAAGATTGTACCTGTTGCCTCAAATCGATTTTTGCCTCAGGTATTGATCGTTTGGCCAGCATTAACTTATCGATATTAATTAGCCTAAACTATAGCCTAATCCTTACTCTAACTCTAACTCAGGCCGATCGACACCTAAGGCAAGAATTGATTTGGACTATTAGGAGTCGACTAAGCCGGTTTTTGAAAAAATCGACTGACTTAGCCGGCTAAGTCGACTAAGTCAACTAAAGTGCTATCGACTTAGATCACTACCTGGTATAAGAACATTTGCTATATATTGTATTATGATCTGAGAGATTATATTGTAAAATGGGGTAATGAAATTTTTGAAAAGATATTTAGATTATGCAAATGGTGTGATAAATTCAAAAGTAGTAGATATAAACATACCAGGTGTCTTTTGAGAAAAAAATATACCGTATTCCTCCGAAAATAAGCACCCTTTTTTGCTATAAGGTTGCTTATTTTCGGGTATAATCTCATCTAATAATTTGAATGACTTGATATTTTGTTGTTTATTTCTATTATATAAGAGGTGCTTATTTCGGGTATATATGAATTGTAGGGGTAATTATTTTCGGGGGGTTCTTATTTTCGGAGGAATACGGTACCAAATAGTGTTAAAAATTAGAAATCTAATAAATGAAATCCACTATAAACTGATAAATTGGTTGATGGATCATTACGAAACAATATTAATCCCTGAATTCGGTATTTCAAATATGGTCAAAAGAAAGAATAGAAAGATTCACAGTAAAATGGCTCATGAAATGTTGACATGGGGTCATTATCACTTTAGAGAGTTTATAAAATATAAATCAAGAGAATAATATAAGAACGTGATCGTTTGTAGCGAAGAGGATACTAGTCAAACGTGTAGTAATTGCGGTTTTAGAAATAATATAAACGAAGCTAAAAGATTCTCTTGCGTTTCATGCAAAATCACAATGAATAGAGATTTCAATGGGGCTCGCAACATTCTCTTGAAATACTTATCAGAGTCAGATATCCTTTAGGTATCTGACGTAGGAACTTGAACCTGGTCGAATCATCGATTTTAGAACCGTTACATAATAAATAGGTTTATTAACTTTTTTTATCAATGTTGGGTTTAATATCGGGGATCTATTCTTGAAAAAGAACCAATATAAAACCATTTCTAACATTTCTAACCAATTACATATTATGTAAAACGTTTTCACTTATAAACTTTTTTTAAAAAGGTAAGTATCATCTGTTTTCATACTGTTTTAATATTATAAAAAATTGTTAGTTAAAAATCTTTACCGTATCTAGATCTGTTTTTCCGTATCTAGATCTATCCTAGATCCGCCTTTTGCTGACGACTGGTCTATAAACATTAACTTTTTAACCATACAAGATCTGTACAAGGTTGAAAGAATTTTTGAAATACGAATCACAGCATGTTTTATTTATGGATAAGAGATTTTCATCTGAGCACATCAAAGATTGTCGCAGTTGCATATCCTATTAAAAAAAATTTTTTTAATATTTATTTTATTTTAAAATTAACCAAACATTTTTGTGGTTTGATAAAAATATACATTGATAATGAGACATATCTATCATAATACATATTAATATAGTACAATATACGTCACACTTAAAATATTTAATGTTAGTCATTTCTATTTTTAGCAAAAGCACATTTTTACTAAACGCACCTATAGTGTTTTACCACCTATTATATGTTTTTTTGTAATTTTATAAGTTTTGTATATAAATTTTTAACACAGATTTTCTATGTTAGACTAATATTTAGGATTAGATTTAAGGTTTGGGAAGGGTTTGAGGCGTAATGCATTTTTTACTTGGAGATAATACAACAAAGGTGGTAAAGCGCGTTTTTAGTAAAATTGAGATTTTTAATATTGGTAAATGATTTAGTATCGTTTTTATAAATTTCTTTCCTTTTTTTTAGGATGCCATTTTGAAAAATTTATTTTGTAACTTCAAGATGCAAGTTTAGGATACAACTTTTAAGATGTAATTTTAAAGTGTAACTTTAATGCGTACTTTTAAGATGTAATTTTGTAAGATGTAATTTAAGACGTACTTTTAAGATACGGAATTCAGGTACGTAACTCAAAGATGTAATTCAAAGTCAAAGATGCAATTCCAAGACGAATGCGACTTTATTTTACTTTACTTCTAAGAGAGGATTCCAATTGGCGGGATGTTGAATGTAGCGAACATTTACTGTACATTTTACTGTATATTTGCTGTGCGATAACTGTGCGATAACTGTGCGATAACTGTACGCTAACTGTACATTTGCAGTCTGTGCTGTGTATACACATACCGATACATACGACAAGTAAGATTATATTTTTACAAGATTATTTATACGTACAAGACATATGCATAAATGCTACAAAATTTTGTCATTGTTTTTCTTACAGGCCTGTAAGCGTGCAAAGAATTGCCACATGGTACCGCCTTTCTGAATTCTAATGCAAGGTAATGATCTACCGTAAACAATCATGCACCTGTTTCGAGAGCATTACCATTTCAACAATTATGTACTGTTCGTACTTCTAACGCTAACTGTACAAAGTAAGTTAACTATATTTCTGTATTTATCGTTATGTGCAGGTGGCCACACAAGTAAAAATATGTGGTTATTTACACTAAAACTTGGTTTTATTGAAGTATCCGTTATCAGCCTTGAAATGTCATTGGTGTCCAAAATATCCTCCTTTACTATATTATACTTTATCACAAGAACTACAAAAACTACAAGAACTGGTTCATTTTTTAAAAAAGTAAAGTAATTGGGTAAGAAATCGATGATCTTTTTTTAATCTTATAAAGTTTTTATCCGTATGTACCGTACGGTACCGTATGCACCGTATGGTTCCGTACGTACTTACCTATGTATTATACCAGATACGTACGTACGTACGTACGTACGTACTTAGAAAGTATGATTAACTTAGTCTTTGTATTCCCAGTCAATTTTATTTTTAATCATATGATATTAAAATCGATGCAAATCATGAGGTCTGTGTAATTGTTTCTTATCAAGGTTCGTGTAAATGTAAAATTATATTTTACTCGAGCATTATTATGATCTTATCCCCCTTTAAATTTTTCAATTTCTATAAACTTTAAAAAAAAAATTTCCGTTTTTTTTTTTATTTTATTATTATTATATATATAAATAAATAACTTTTATAAATTTTGAAAATTAGAATTATTTTAATATATATATAAAAAAAAAAAAAAAAGATGATTTCAAGTTTACCAAACGAATTATTATTAAAAGTGTTTAAGAGTATACGCGATCAAAATAAGTAAATAATTATTCTTTTTTTTCGTAATTCATTCAATGAATTCATTTCTGGTTAAGCTTAATTTATAATATCCTTGTTTTTTCAACAGTTATAAACATTTGTGGAAAATTAGGAGAACTTGTAAACGATGGCATGAACTTATTCCTGTGGCAATAAGTGACGATCTTTCAAATCGATTTAGTTTGGAGGTAAGAAAAAAAATTTATAATGTATATATTATTCTTTTTATTTATTATTCTATTTATTATCATTTTATCATTTTATTTCTCATTTATCATTCTATTTATCATTTTATTCATCATTCTATTTATCATATTATTTAACATTCTATATATTTATCATATTATTTAACATTCTATTTATCATATTATTTTTTTTAAACAAAAATTCATTCAATAATACAATACAAATACACTAAATGCACTAATTATATTAAATTAAATAGGTTCGAATAGAATTTTCTCAAATACCAATACCAACTTACCCAATTCACTTTACGTTAAAGTTAGAATCATTTTCGAATATTAGTACATTTACCTTTCACCAATCAACAGAAATTACAATACCACCAGCTTCAGAACAAAACTTACCAGATGATTCATTCCCTTTTTCAATTACAAATTCCAATTTAACTACTACGACATCAAACACAACTATTAATTTATCTACATTGACAAATGCTGGTGAAACTAATTGTACAATTCATATAGATTTTATGAAAAAAGATTCAAAATCTTCTTTAGGATGGAAAACCAAAGGGAATATTCCTATAATTACAATACCACATGATGATTATAAAATTATCAAAGAAGCAAAATTTTGTAAAGAATTGATGTTGGGATATAGATTATTTCCGTATGCTAAAAAATTATCCAAAAATCTTTATCAATTACCAAATGCTCATACACATTCTTGTGGTGAATTAACTTACGATGCAGAAAATTTTGGTGGAAATGAAAAATTTATAGATGGAAATGGAAATGAGGAGATTTATTCGGAGAATTATGATCATATTGATAATAGGCATGATTATAATGACGATGGTGATAACGACGATGGTGATAGTGAAAATATTAATAACTCTAATCAAAATATTAATGATTATTTTGATAATATATCACAATACTCGTTATCTGATAATGAAGACGTACCACAAACACCAGGAATCGTATCATATCCGACAAATATAATAGATCATAATAGAAATGATGACGAAATTTTGGAATATCCTAATTCAAATGTTTCAACTTGTAATGAAATTGAATTTATTTATTTAACGATTCCAAAAGAATCTTTATTGGAATTGATGGATTCTTTGGATCGTCTTGCTGGTTAGATTTCATTTACTTTTTTAATTCGTTTTTCATTCGTTTTCATATCTATTAATCACTCAAAATTTTTATTATTGTTATGTAGACAATGATATCCGAAGTGGGTCATCACCTGGGTTCGGAATTGACAGCGCTTTAAAAGGGGTCTATTATAAAATCATAAAAGTAGAAGATAAAGTTGGATTTGAGTACCAACGCCGATCTATTGTCGAGTAAAAATATAATTATTAAGATATTTAAGATCTATATATATATATTTTATCTTATGTAAAGTTTAAGCGATTTGAAGAATCATGTTAAAATATTTTGATATAAATACCCGTTAGATTAATAGTATATATATTTATTGTATTGTTTTCATGAAATATTTTGGCAATTACAGAATTATTTAAGCATTTATTGTCTTGTAAAAAAAAAAAAAACATAATTTAACGTTATGTTTAAAACACTTTTTTTAATTATATAAATTTTCTTCAAATTCAGCAATTATCAATAGACACTATGATAAAGATGTTACTATGAATTCGAATGAATGATAAGCTCGAATGATAAACTCAAGTAAAAATCGCCACCTAAAAAGTTTCTATCATCATGTGAAACATTTATCAAGCACCAAAATTTAACTTGAATAAAAAATAAAATTTATAGACTAACAAAATAATAACAATATAAGCAATAAATTAATCATTTTATTTATTTCGAATAAACTCAATAAACGTAATATTTATTACAGCCAGAAAGTATTATGATTGCGGTTTTTATGTATTTGGAATAATCCTCCAATTTATGCAATGGCCCAGAGCTTTTATTTATGGCGGTTTGCAAAAATGTGACATCTGCAGATCATGACGACTGTAAAATCACGCGAAATCAGGCGATTCTAATAGATTTTTCGATTCTTAGAGAATCTTAGCGTTAGAGATTCGAATAAATATAGACATTATTGATTGAATAATATGATCAATAGAAAATTCACTATCATTGTATATTTTTAGAATATTGTGTTTATTGGATTTATGCTTTTAAAAGAATCACTATTTTGTCGATAGCTTTTCATTTTGAAAAACAAATCACTTATTAAATCAATTAATACTTTGCTAAATATTATGATCCTAATCATGATGAATTGACAATATCACATGATTTTCGAAACTTTTTTGGGTGGCGATACCCCGGTTATTGCGCTTTGCAAAAAGATGTGAACATGTGATTTTAGTGATGATGGTTGCGGAGAATCATTGAGATTCTAATATAAAATCCAAATTTAAGAATCTATATAAAATCATAATTACGTATATATTAATTACGCAATTAATCAATAAAAAGCTATATATATATATTTTGTTGATTTATTCGCTCATTATATATATCGATACCAATTGATCTCTTCAACATACCATTCTAATGGCTGACGCTCAAGAGACAAAACTAAAATATCGCCGTGGAACCTGTTTTAGCTGTCGTAAATGTTTGTATTGTGGAATTGATTTGCAACAGCAAAGATGCAATTGCAACTTATCAGATGTGCCACACAAGGATAATCGAACAGAAGCTGTCAAATATGCATTTACACGAGTCTTTAAGCC